ATGGGTCGGCCCGCCCAGCCGACCCACACAAATGGGCGAGCTTGGGTATATATATCTACCCACCGGGCTAGGCCGAGCCCGACCCGCAATAGCATTTGGGCGGGTTTGGGTTAAGGTGTAGGCCCGTTTGGGCCGATAAGCCCGGCCCGCTACTGATGGAGTATATGGTCTAGGATACCCCGGCCCAAAGACTCCTGCTTCGTCTACACAAGCCCATCAAGCCCGATGAGCACACAAAGCCCAAACGTAGCGGCCCAAGCATGAAGAAGCCCACGCTGCACACATGGATGCCTTCGACCCTATGGCCGAGGGCTCCAAATTCTGGGAGACATCTTAAAATGGTCCTACAAAGCTTCTGGAAAGTCGTGACTAAAATGTTAGCCTTCGGCCACACAATGCCTTCGGCCACATGATGCCTTCGATCACATGATGCCTTCAGTCACATGATGCCTTCGGCCACATGATGCCTTCGGCCACACAATGCCTTCGGCCACATGATGCCTTCGGCCACACGAAGCCTTCAACAACAGAACTATCGACGAAGATTCCTTTTAGAGACAGCCAACCCCGCATTTAATACGGCGTCACATCCACCCACCACATTTAATGCGGTGCACATGCATATGTCGATGCCACCCCGATTGAGGTGACCCCTCGGCCGTTAGATTGTTGACACATGTACTCTCATCGCATTTATAGCTGCTATAAATAGCAGCCCTTATTCACCTTGTAAAAGATCACAACGAGTTCATGTAATACATTTTGACTCTCTCTCTTACTTGTTGGTCTAACTTCTCTCTAGTTATTCTCCGCAATAATCCCTCGGATAAGCTACCCCCGGGTACGCTATCCATCATTTGGTGCTCTCGTTGAGAGGCCGAACAATCAAGTAAGAAACCCTCCCCCTCCCCCAACGCAAAACACCTATCGAAATGGGAAGAGCGACTCGTGCCCAATCCAAGGCCGAAGCCTCCAACAAAGCCCTCAGGATTGACACTCCCGAGGCCTCTAACAAAGCTCCCGAAGGAGGAGCCCTTGCTGAAATAGTACAGGCCACTGCAGACCTGCCCCTTCAGCTCCAAGAGAACGTTCTCGGTGCCTGTCTCGGCATCGAGGCCTAAAGGAAAGATCGGGGTGAGATTCAGGTGAGCCCCCCGGTCCTCACCACAAATATGCAATCGGTCCTATTTGCCTTCATCCACACGCTCACCCAGAATCCTGGAGCCTTCAGAACTCTGGTACTGCCCCCGGCCCATGCCGAGGGGAACATCGTCCCTTTCTCTCCGCCCCCTCCTCATCCGTTGGTCATGAATGTACGCAACGATGAGGGGGTCAGGGCTCAAGACTCGGCCTCCCGCTCCGATCCTGCTTCCTCTCCCCGAGCTGGACCAGCCCTAGTGCGTAGACCTTCGGCCTTCAATAGGTTAGGGGATGCGCACCGTCGGCCAGCATCGGAGAGGCTGGTGGGACGGATGGGTCAACGTGAGCCTGTCTCACCGAGGGAGAGCTTTGGGTCCATATCCCGGACAACGGATCGGCCCCGTCTTGACAAGGGAAAATGCAAGCTACACGAGGAGGACGCACGCCACCACATCAATGCGGCTCATAACCAAGCCCCCGGCGCCGCCACGTCCGTCGAGGACCCTCAGAATGAAATCATCGCCCAAGTTGAAAGAAGGCTCGCTCAGATGGAAGCAAGACAACTAGCCGCCACCCATACGGCCAACTCATCGGGGAATCCCGGCTTTGACGCCCTCATGAACAAACTCAGTGCTCTGGAGAGGGAATTTGCTGAGGGGCACGGTGACCCCATCATCCAGGTCAGGACCAAGACCCCGTTCACCACCAGGGTGCTCTCGGCCCCAATACCCGAGAAATACCAGGGAAGCACTATGAAGCCGTATGATGGCCGCACTGACCCCCAGGAACATTTCAGCCGATATCTAAACAACATGCTGATGGTCAGTGTTGACGAATATTTATGCCGTTGGCTCCTCTCCACTCTCGAGGGATCGACGTACAAATGGTTCAACGCGTTGCCCGAGGGGAGCATAGACTCATGGCAAGATCTCGCCCAACGCTTCCTCACCCATTTTGCCAGAAGGAAGCGCGCGAAAAAGCATTTCTCCCACCTCCTCTCCGTCAAGCAACAACCCGACGAAACACTGTGGTCCTTCATTGACCGATGGATGAAGGAGACAGACGAGGTCGAGGGCGCCGACGAGCGTACCCTCCTCGTCCTCTTCCAGGGGATTCTCCGCAGCAGCCCATACTCGCGAAGCCTCATCACGACCCCCCAAAATCATACCTCAAAGCACTCCAGCGGGGGAGCCTATACGCCGACGCCGATGACCTCCACTCCTTCAAGAAGGACGGAGGCCAGCCCTCGAAGAAGACAAACAATACGCCGGCCCCGAATGTGCCCTCGGTCGGGGGTCGAGACCATGGACGCCACACCCAGCAGGGCCGGAACGACCGCCAATGGCGCCCTCGGTTGGACATGCCGAGGACTCCCCTCACGCACCCGGTGAGAACTATCCTGAACTATGCGGAAGAGCAGGACCTTTTCCTCAAGGACCCTCGGTCGACGAGGGAGATCTGCGCCGTCCACCAAGACTGCACTTATTGCCGTTACCACAAAAGCACCTCCCACAATACAGACGATTGTGTCTCGTTAAAGAAGGCTATTGAACTCTTAATTCAACGGGGTAAGCTCCACCAATTCATCAAAAATGCCCCAAGGAAAAACGTAGGGGAGAACACCGATAAAAAAGAAGGGGACACCTCAACGAAGAAGTGTGAAATTGGGAGGTTCAATGACGACAAGGAGTTCGAGGAGCCCCAGCCGAAGAAACGCCACCTCCGCTAATCATGTTCCTCGCCTTCGGCCTCGGTCTCAACCTTGAGCCCTCGACCTCGAGGCACATTATCATCCCTTCGGCCTAGAGCTCTCGGCCTCGAACTGTGTATCTTAACAAAGCCGTTTTCAAACAACGCACCCCTTGTATTCCGCTTATTTCTTATGAACTTAAGTAAAGGCTGCGCACAATCCAGACATTTGATCGGCCCATTCGAGGCCAAATGCCCAGGTATGGCCGGTGGTGTCCAAGGACGAGAGGCATGCAAAAGGCCCGCATTTTTGGAGCGGGACACTCACCACGTCGCCAGCGCGCAACGCACGACGACAGGCCCGAAAGAATGGCTGAGGTGACGAAATCCCCAAACTTGGGGGTGAAACGGCAGTCGTCGGAAACCGACCAAGCCTACCCCGAGCCGTAAATAGACGACGGGACCCCCCAAGGTCAAGGGACGGTTCAGCGTCGGGGGACTAACATACGAACCCCCGGACGGATCACTTGGACCCCCTTCCGGCCGAGGCGGGGAAGCAACCCCCTCGGCCGAAGCCTGAAAGAAGGAACACACATTAGGAGGACTAACATACGACCTCCTCACACAATCAAGGGACGGCTTAGCGTCGGGGGACTAACAGACGAACCCCCGGGCGGATCACTTGGACCCCCTTTCGGTCGAGGCGGGGAAGCAACCCCCCCCCCAGCCGAAGCCTGAAAGAAGGAACATACACCCGGACGACTAACACGCAGCCTCCCGGAACTATCAAGGAACGGCCCTCACCCTCAACATGACTCTACATCACGAACGACCGTCGACATCAACATGATTCTACATCACAACGGACCTCGGCCTCAGCGTGACTCTACGTCACAACGGTTTTGGACTTAGCATGATTTCACATCACGAACGGCCCTCGGCGCCAGAGAGACTCTACATCACGAATGGCCCTCGACCTCAACGTGATTCTACATCACCAACGGCCCTCAGCCTCAACATGACTCCACATCACAACGGCCCTCGGCCTCAACATCACAATGGCCCTCGGACTCAGCATGACTCTACGGCACAACGGTTTTAGCCTTAGCGTGATTTCACATCACGAACGGCCCTCGGCCTCATCGTGACTCTACATCACGAACGGCCCTCGACCTAAACGTAATTCTACATTACCAATGGCCCTCATCCTCAGCATGATTCCGCATCACAACGGCCCTCGACCTTACATCTCTCCGACATCAAATATTTGATGTCAGGGCCATCATACAGGCCCCTCGGCCTTCGCCCCTCCGACATCTTTATTTGATGCCAGGGGCTATCACACAGGTCCCTCGGCCTTCATCCCTCCGGCATCTTTATTTGATGTCGGGGCTATTACACAGGCCCCTCGGCCTTCGCCCCTCCGGCATCCTTATTTGATGCCAAGGGCTATCATACAGGCCCATCGGCCTTCATCCCTCCGGCATCTTTATTTGATGTCGAGGGACATCATACATCCCCCTCGACATTCATCCCCCCGGCATCTTTATTTGATATCGGGGCTATCATATAGGCCCCTCGGCCTTCATCCCTCCGGCATCTTTATTTGATGTTGGGGGCCATCACACAGGCCCCTCGACATTCGCCCCTCTGACATCTTTATTTGATGCCAGGGGCTATCATACAAGCCCTCGGCCTTCATCCATCCGACATCTTTATTTGATGCCAGGGGCTATCATACAGGCCCTCGGCCTTCATCCCTCTGGCATCTTTATTTGATGTCAGGGGCCATCATATAGGCCTCTCGGCCTCCATCCCTCTGACATCTGTATTTGATGCCAGGGGCTCTCACACGGGCCCACCTTTATTTGATAACGGGGGGTCCTTAGAGACTCCTCAGCTTTTTCATGCAGGATCTAAGGCCGGTCTTGGATATCCCCTCAGTGGACGGACACAACCACCGCTCAACAATCTAGGCCGAAGGGTGCATTCCTTTTGCTTCATTCTGGGGGCATCCGGTGTACTCTTTTTCCCTCATTAGGATTTTTCCCCACAGGTTTTTTTTTCCTAATGAGGTTTTTAACGAGGCATGTAACACCCCCAAATTTCCCACCCAAAAACACTTTGAAATAATACTTTATTATTAATTTTATTTGAAAACATCATAGTTGTGCAGCGGAAAATTCAAAGGGAAATAGGGGCGTTACCGCCACACTCGGTTCTAACCTAACCGAGTGCACATGCTAATCACCTCCAAAACAATTTAAGCTCCAAACAGTTATTCACTAAGGATCTTGAAAGTATAAGTTACAATGATTTACTAATTAGATGTTCTAGCGGAATCTCTCTTGAATACACATCGTCATCAAATAGATACTCAGGTCTTATCTCCTGCACAAATAAAGTACAGAAAGAAAAGAAAAGCAAAGAGACAAAAATTAGCCGGAAATGCTAAGTAAGTCCCACCAAACCCCGTAAAATAATCAGGTTTAGTACATATATACTTTTTGTAAAACCATTCGGAGGAAAAATCTTTTCAAAACATTCATATCACTCATAAGTAAAACAATATTTATAATAAATTCTCATAACTTAATTCATATGTAAAATAATAATATTTCAAATCATAATAATTCCAATCATTAGAAAATGTAATAAAAATTCTCATAAATATTCCAAAGCATATATCATGTACACAACTCCAAATATCCATCTCAAAACTCACTTAAGCACTTTATCACAATTCTTAAAAACACATAATCAATGTCCACAAATATGTTTTCCAAACCAATAACACAAGTATTTATACTTTAGAAATTCACAATTAATAAAATGATTAAGTATTTAATCAACTCTTTAACCCAACTCTTTAAGAGTAAAATACCAAAACATTTGATTTACCTCAAAATAGCTTTATAGCTAATTCTCTAAGTTCATTTAGAAGGGCGGTGCTCAAGCGTTATCTCGAATCTTGAGCCCAGTGATCCGTTGTTTCGTACGGTCACTCCGATCTGCTCTCGGCACCACATCTCCTCTATTAGAATCTAGACTTCTACCTTAAGTTTACACACCCCCTAAAGGGATTCCAAGCCCTCCGAGTAGTATGAAGTCTAAGTAGTTCTGACGTCAACGTCTCCCTACTCCAAATGGGATATACTCCCTAAGTACTAGGTTCAAAGACCCTTAAGAGAATAGGTACTACTACTACTACTCTAATAAAAAGGGATCTGATGCCCAGTTGTTCAGGGTGGTTACCGAACCCTCCAAAATTCATTTAATTTGTTTCACACCTCTCAATTCAAGTAGTAGTAGTCCTAACCCCCCCTCACCATTAACGGACGTGAAGGTGGCCCGACACCTGCAGATTTCTCCCGCGGTGCCCCAATTATGAAAACAGTCTTTTATCTTGTCTTTTCAAAACTCAATATTTATGTCTTATAGACATTTGTGTCACCATTAAAAATATAAATTTTCCTTTGTTTTCTCAAATTCCAATCAAAAGTTCATATCTTTCAAAATACGCTAAAATTCGCATATATTTTCTCAAAGTCCAATTTACTCACAACACCACAAAAATATTCACCATTAGAAAATCTCCCAAAAATCATATACAATAACTTGTATCAAAATCCAATAATAACAACCCAATATATCAAGTACAACCAACTTCAATTTACTCAAATTTAAGACACACAAATACATTACTCAAATTGTACATTAAAACATTCAAAATAATTACGAGGCAAAAGGTATAATTTTGGTTGCAATGAAACTTACCTCAAATCGCGATAATTCATAATCAAAGCTTCTATCTTAATCTTCTTCAAATTCACCTTCTAAAATATTAAAATTCTAGTATTAGTAATTTACTACGCACTTCTTAATACTAGTAATATATTTTCATTATTACTCATGTTAATTTTTGATCGGCAAGGCTAAAAATAAGTAGCCCATTTAATTTAACTTCTGGCCCAAACCAATAGTGTGGATTAACACAGTACGAAATACAATACCAAGTATATATGTAGATTTTTCTTAATACGTACTGTAGCTTTCTTCTTCGTCGTTCTCACGCAGTACTGGCGGCGCAGGGCTGGTTCAGTGATGGTGATGGTCGACGCCTAGTTCTTCTGGTGGCAACAGCGAGATGGCCAGTGGCTACGCAGATCGGCGCAGCTTTCCTTTCCCACTCCGGCGTGCAAAACAGTCCGACAAGTTCCGTCTTCTACTCTCCCTCCAGCGTGAAAACTTTGCAGAAGCACTGCGACGTGCACGATACTCATCCTCCGGAGACTCTGGTAGTGAAGGAAACGGAAAACGGTAGTATGTTGGTGGCACTCCGGCAAGCGTTTTTTCTTCCTCTCCGGAGAGTATGCGGTGTCCTCGGTTCCGGCGATGCTTTTTCTGTGGTGCGGCTGCTCCGTCGGCCCTTAACAGAAGTAGGTTGATAGCAAGCGATACGTTCAGCATCAGTAGTCCAGTCCGGTGACATCAATTGCGGCCTCTCTTCTTCCTCCGGCGTGGACCACACCGACGACGTTCATCCGTTTCTCTCCTTTCCTTGCTTTTATTTCCCTTTTTTTTGGCCTCACGATCATACTTCCTCAATGGTGAACTACCCGTTGATTTTTCATCTGCTCTTAATACGGAGTATTATATCTTGTCATACCCTGGTTTTCGATTGTAACGCATGTATGTATATAGCTGGCCGAACATTCTAGCGTGCGGTTACAAAATCTTCTGTATTTATTCTATTCATTAACTTTCCTTTGTTAGTATTTCTATCCTTTTGCATGTATGCGTGTATACTATGTAAAATATTACGGAGTATTATCGTTAATGGCCCGTTATGTGTACTCCTATGACATGTCCCTTAATTCCTTAAATTCTCAATATTCTAATTGTTGGTTGTGTAAATCATTTTTACGAACCTAAGTTGAAAAGTCAACCTATGTCCAAATCGTAAAAAGAAAAAAATGTATTCTTTTCCTATTGTTGTATATATTGTGAGACTAAAATTTGTTAAATTTAACCTTTATAATATTCTAAAACTAACCTGATAGTAAAATTATCTATTTTATTTTATTTAAAATTTTCAGCGTGTCACAAGGCATCTTCCCATTGTGGAACAAAAGACGTCACCCCTCGGCGGCTCCTGCTGAAGGCATGCATCACTCTACTCCTGTTTTCCTCGATTATCTTTCACCAAAAGGAGTGGGAGACTGGGGGACTCCCCTCGACAAAACACGCAAATGTTAAAAAATTTCTATTTCTCAGCTACAACAAGTTGAGGCAAGATCACAACGACAATCTACTCCCTTCTGCAAATCTTAATATGGTCTTGCAAATCTTCTGGAAAGTCCTGGCTAAAATGTTAGCATTCGGCCACACAATGCCTTCGGTCACATGATGCCTTCAGCCACAAAATGCCTTCGGCCACATGATGCATTCAGCCACACAATGCCTTCGGCCACACAATGCCTTCGCCCACATGATGCCTTCAGCCACACGATGCCTTCGGCAACAGAACTATCGACGAAGATTCCTTTTAGAGATAGCCAACCACCGCATTTAATGCGGTGCACATGCATATGTCGATGCCACCCCGATTGAGGTGACCCCTCAGCCGTTAGATTGTTGACACGTGTACTCTCATCGCATTTATAGCTGTTATGAATAGCAGCCCTTATGCACCTTGTAAATGATCACAACGAGTTCATTTAATACATTTTGACTCTCTCTCTTACTTGTTGCTCTCACTTCTCTCTAGTTATTCTCCACAATAACCCCTCAGATAAGCTACCCCCGGGTACTCTATCCATCAACTACATTTAATATATATACAGAAAAAAGATCAGGTGAGAAGTGCCCCTTAAAATGAGAAGTGAGAAATAATCTTAGCCCTTGGATTTGCATCTGATCTTACAACGCAGTAAACTTATAGACTAAATATAGAAACTTATAACCAATAAATCATAACTTGTAAAGCTCTCCATAATAATTACGAAAATGCCACCGCGTCAAAAAAAATTCCAGGTTTCCGCATTTTTTTTTCGGTGGCATTTTCGTAATTATTTTTGAGGGGTCTATAAGTTATGATTTATTTGTTAAAAGTTCCTATATTTAGTTTATAAGTTTAACTTCGTAGTTCTCAGCCTAAGAGCACTTCTCACCTGATCCGCTCCCTACACACATGTATATGTATATGTGTATGTATATGTATATGTATATGTATATGTATATGTATATGTATATGTATATGTACATCTATTTATTGATTTACATGCACACATGTATATTAATATTTACCCAATTACTCCGTATCTTTATACATTCTAAACTTTATTATGTTTAAATTAAGTTTTCGGTTCTTAACAACTAGCTTAATCAATATAATATCTACTTTTGTACTTAAAGATAATTTTTGTACTTGAACTTTAAATTTTACTTATAATTTCTCATTATTATATTTGTGCATGTATTTTTGTGTATGTGTTGAAGGCATATAAACATTATAAGTGTATTAACAAATTTTAAAAGTATTAAAATATTATATAATTTTGAAAAATCATAAAATTTTTCCCGGGCCGAGCGGCCTGATGGACTACCTGGCCAACTCTTACTGGCGGGTATGGACATGGGGTTAGGCCCGTTTTGCGGGCCGGGCCCGGCCCGCCCACACATATATAATGGGCAAACATATTATAATAAAAAAACCGACCTGAACCCATTTTTGTGCAGGTCTAAATATCATATGTGGTCCTAGAAATGCTGGGCAATCCCCGCTCCCTTGGTGGGCCCCACGTGCTTTTTACTATTCACGTAAAAGTAATAACAAAAATTTTAAACCTCATAAATTTGTTAACCATTTCTCAAGGTTCAATACATGATTTGGTAAAAAGTAAATATACTAGGGGATGTTGTTACAATTATAATTTTAGAAAGTATAGTTTGATCTCACAACTATGAGTTTCTGTAGTTCATGATGTTTATATAGATATTTTAGAGAATATTGGCATACTCACTCAGAAATCATTTGATAAGTTCTATTCATGTGTCTATGAAATTATCGGCACATAGGGCATATTTTCACATTGCTCTACGACTTGAGCTAATAGCCTTGATAATGCATTATAGGAGTAATATATTCCAACCAAAAAGAGCATTTAACATCACAGAAGAAATAGAAAAGAAAAGAAACAATAATGTAATTGAGAAGTTCATTTTTGTACTTATTTTTCTTATCAAAATTAAGTGAATTTTTATTGAAAATAGAAAGAAAAGGCATATTTTAGATATTTTGGTTCAAGTTTCATGAAATCAGGTGAAAATCACATTCATAATATGTTTGGCGGAATTTCAGGTCAATTGAGCATAAAATGAGTCAATTTGAGTAACAAATGAATTCATAACGAAAGAAGCAAGCATTATATCAAAGTGATTCAGAAGACAATCTTGAAGAGTAGGAAATGCAACATTTGATAGACAAATTTAGCAGAAGGCGCCCAAGAAGGCGGCCATTATGGGCGCCTGGTTGACTGCCTACGAAAAAACAGGAAGTCAACATCGATTTTGACTCGAGCCAGAAGAAGTTCGAAGATTGCCGACACTGGACAGAAGGCTGGTGACCGCCTGCGGCACAAGGCGACACGAGCAACCACCAGTCGACACGATTCGACGGCAGACGACCAGACAGGAACGGCAGACGGCCGCCTGCTGGACTGCCTGCGGCTGACGAAGACCGATACATGTTGCGTTGTCGGCGATTAGACGGAGGGCGGCCGTAGCTGAACGAAAGGCGGCCGACTAAATGGGCGCCTTTGGGAAATTTTTGGGCTATAAATACCAGACTTTTTTTCCATCTCAAACACACCATCTCTTACCCTAAATCAGTTCAAATACATTCTTTTATTCTGCAATTTCCGAGCTCAAAGGCTTTTTTAGAGAGGGAAATTTCAAATCATCACATCTTCTTCATTTTAGCTCCAAATTTTAAGTTCTTTATATGTATTTTCAAACCCTCAACGTGTAGAATCTGAATCTGTGCTTTGTTTGTTAGACATGTTCTTCTAAAATTTCCAGAATATTTATCAAGTATTTCTCATTTTCTTTCAAAAATTGAATAAAAGAGTTGTTGATGTTAAATCCATTCCAATTAATTATATAGTTGTTTACTAGCCTCAAGGTAATTATGTATCTGAAGAAAGTTAATTTCGGTGATTATTTGATATTATTGCAGAAATTAAAATAAATACTCAAAAAAGGCAAAAAAATAGTTTCGATCCTAATTCCAGTTTAAATCACTGTAATATCACTACCAGTAGTTAATATAAAATTTAGAACGAATTTAAAAGTATTTTTAGTTGCTTTTTGCATTTTATAGTTAATATTGGGAAAACTATCAATTAGTTGTTAAAATTGGATTTTAGGTTTATAAATTCGTGAAAAATTTCAGAAAGTTAAATTTTAGTTCCTACAAGTTTATTTTTCCAGAATATATATTTTTTTTAATTTTTTCTATCATACATGTATAATTCCTTGTTAATAATGAATATATTCATTATATTGTTAATTGCAAAAATGATGTTTAGTAGCTAAATTTGTTTTGGGCATGAATTGAGTAAAATAATATGGATTGACTTGTTGACCGTAAATTAGGGATTAAAATTAATAAATTGGACTAGTTGTTTAAAATAATGAAATAGTAATTAATAATTGTTAGCCATTTTCATTAATTACATTCTTGAAAAATTAATTCTAACTTGTCTATGGGATTAGAAAATAATTTAAGCCAACCATATTCAAACACATTAATAAAGCCTATAAATAGGATAATTTAATGAAATAGATTTACATCTTGTCTATGAGAAATAAATTCAATTGCTTAAATAATGAGTTTAACTAGTTAATGAATTTGGCTATTTTTATTAATTAAAATATTGGAAAATTATTTCTACCTTGTCTATGGGTTTAGAAAATAATTTAAGCCAACCATTTTAACCACATTAATGACACCTAGAAATAGGATAAATTAATGAAGATAATTTCTCTTCTTGTCTATATGAGGAAAGAAATAATTAGTCCAATTTTAGTTTTAATTTCCCTAATTACTAGGTCCAAGAATATATTCATTTCTAATTACTCAATTCATTGCCCTTATTTGCATCAATCTTTAGAACACTTAATCTTTAAACATTAATCTTTAAATTGAACCTTGCTCCTAGCTATCAATTGGCATAATTTAGAACACAATCAGTTTTTTATATTAAAAAAGCTTCCAACGATTAGCGATAGCCCGTGAGTAAAATTAAATTAAAAACTTCTCCGTCATTACTCAAGAGACACGATACTCGGGGAAAAACCGAAAGATTAGACTCCATTTTACTACAATACCGTGAAAGCGGTTATCAGTAATCCAGAACTAACAATAATTTGTAGGAGAATGAGTGCACCTTTTAACATGAAAAAATGAACTAAATAGGACTTTTGCTAGACAATTGAGATTCACCCTCAATGCATAACTTTTACTCAAATTACTATAACTAGTAATTCAAAAGACATAACTTTTGCTCATCACTCAATTGATCATATAAAAAGTAAGAAGTCGATGTTTTCCTCCCTAAAGCTCCGGAGTTTGAGTACGTGTGCATGTCTGCCGCAGTTGGT